ATAAAAAAGCTCAAGAAAGAGCTAAAAAAAAAGAAGTACAAGAAAAAAACAAAACCTAACATCAACTCAGAAAATGCACAAAAGGAACAATCAAGTGAATCAAAGTTAAATGGAGTGGAGGGAAGTCTTGTTTATTTACATATTCAATTTGATATCAAATTAATCCTGTAAGGTCTATATCCATATTAAGACCCTGTTTAAGGGTGCTCAGGTTATAGATCCATTGAGCTTATTTTTTATTTAATTGTGTAGATCTATTCCCTCCTCTCCAATTCTTTTCCACTCTATCGATCCCGATCGCTATGAAATTATCCCATGAAAAGGATGGACATGAATTACAGTGTTTAGGCACACTGTGTTCTATTTTATTCTTATGGATGTTATAAAAATGTTCTGCTAACCTTGTGTGTAACTTTCTTATTGTACGTCCTATATATTGGGTTTCACAACCACATTGTAGAATATAAATAACAAATGTGGTAGAACATTGAATGAACTTTTTAATTTCATATTTTTTGTTGGTATAAGTACCTCTAAAATCATGCGTAGTTCTTTTCTGAAATTTACAGGTGGAACATAGTCCACAACTGTAAAAGCCTTTAAGGTTTAACAAGTGAGTATCCTCTTTCTTGGTACGTAGTAAGCTAGGTGCTAACTGATTTTTAAAATTTTCTGCCTTTTTATAAATCACCATTGGTTTTTCGGGAATAACTTTTTCTAATATATCATCTTTTTTTAATATATGCAAGTGTCTTGTCAAAATCTTTTCCACTTTTTTGGCCTGGGAATTAAACCTGGTAATGAAGGCATATTCAAAACTGTTATTAGTATTATTTTTTATGTGTTCTACCCTGGTTCTTTAGTAACGATTGTCTCCCTAGACTTTTTACCTGTTCCTCATCTAAATTCATTTTATTCAGATCATAACCTTTTTCGTAATATCTTTTTTTAATAATCTGATTTTGTTCCTCGAATATCTGTAAATATGTACAGTTGTGTCTTAAACGCATCATTTGTCCTTTAGGGACATTTGTAAGCCACGGGCCGTAATGTAGGATAGATTTATTGATGGCTGTGTTACAGTCCATGCTTTTGAAAAAAGTTTTACTTTTAAGTTGTCCTCCTTCAACATAGAGAGTGAGGTCCAAAAAGTCGATCTGTGTGGAATGTATCACTGATGTAAAATGTAAATTATAATTGTTACAATTGATGTTATTTATGAAGGATATAAGTCCCTCTGACTGACCTTTGATTAGAACATCGTCTATGTAGCATCGCCATAGGACAAGACCACCCCCGGCTTCCTCGTCCACAGTAATTGCTGTGGTTTCCCAATGGGACACGTAGAGGTTGGCAAAGCGTGGGGCGAATCTTGTCCCCATGGCGACGCCACACAGCTGTAAAAAGAAAGTGGAATCAAACCAGAAGTAGTTTTTGGTTAATACAAAATTTATACTATCAATTAAAAAGTCTATTTGACATATATTCAATTGCTGTTTAGATACTAAAATATCTTTAATGGCTGCCAGCCCTTTACAATGGGGGATACTGGTATATAAAGAGGAAACGTTAACTTTAGCCATAGTATAGGTAGATATCCATATAATATATGTTTGCTGTCCTTAATATAAGATGGAACCATTTGTACATAGGGCTGGAGGAAAAAAATCAACATATTCAGATAACCTGAAAGATAAAGAATCGATCCCACTAATGATGGGACGGCCAAGGGGGTTAATTAGATCCTTATGAATTTTTGGGAGGAAGTAAAATATTTCTGTCTGGCATTCTATATTAAATAAATACTCAAATTCTTCCTTTGTGATTATTTCTTTTTTCCATCCCAACTGATAGAAGCATCTTAAGATCCTGTAAAAATAATTGTGTGGGGTCCTTAAGTAAGGTTTTATAAGTAATACTATCCCCTAAGATCCTGTAGGCCTCGGTCACATAGAATTGTCTACTCATTATTACAACCCCCCCAGTCTTATATATCCTTCCCAAAATACATAAAGATCCTAAGAATTCCCCTGGCAGGTCCATTGTGGCTGGGGTTGACTCACTTACTAGTCGTCTATCTTAATATATTGATAGACTTCTTCAACCCTTAGTGGTATCTCAACCCACTTATCTCAAAGATTCCACCCAATTAATTAGAGAATTATCTAATATCCAGTGGAAAGATCGATACTATCTGGTAACCTGTGATGTAAGTAGCCTTTACACTATTATTTCTCACCAATTAGGGTGTGAGGCACTTGAACATTTTCTTCATTTGGGTGGTTTTTTAGAATGCCAATTAGATTTTATTTTGGAAGCTATTCAATTTATTTTATGCCATAACTACTTTTGGTTCAACGGGTCTTTCCTCTTTACAACTCATTGGTACTGCGATGGGGACCAGGTTTGCGCCGAGCTATGCTAATTTAATTATGTCCCATTTGGAGGAATCCTTCCTCTTGGGCAGTGACGTGCCCGGCGCGGGCCTGGTCCACTACCGTAGGTACATTGATGATGTATATTTTATATGGGACCGTGACCAAAATTCCCTTGACTTATTCTTAAAATTTTTAAATCAGAATGACAGGATTATTACGCTAACGTGTGAATATAGTAAATCAAGTGTACATTTTTTAGATCTTGA